TGATACAAAAATTGTTTCAGAAAGTTAGTTGTTTTAGTTGAAAGAAAAGAAGAGAGAGTGTAATTAAAATTGTTTTTTTTTTTTGGATTGCTATCTTTTCAGTGTTACAAAAAAGCAAGTTCAGAATTTATAAATGATAATTGAAGCTGTAAAGCTTGCAGGAATTATATATTTAAATAATTTGTATTATGGTATGGCGATAAAATTAAAATGCTCAAAAGATATAGGTAATGTTATTCTGAAAAATGTGAGAATAATTAGCACAATGTTCATCATTCAAAAAACAAAGAAAGTTATAGGTACATCATCACTACATAGTATAAAACAAAGTCGCTTTCTCTGTCCCTATATCCCTATGTATGCTTAAATCTTTAAAACTACGCAACGGATTTTGATACGGTTTTTTTTAATAGATAGAGTGATTCAAGAGAAAGGTTTTAGTATATAATTTGTTAAGTTTTTGCATACAATTTTTTTATAAATTTTTTTATAAAATTCCGTCTAAAAACGTAGTTCTATCCAGAGGTTATTTAAATAGCTTTAAAAATAACTTTATAGTTTTTTATGCAACAAATTACTCCTAAGCTGATGATTCTCCACAGTTTCAATTCTAAGATGTTACCGGCAGGCGGCATCTTTGAGAGAACGTAGCAGCGTTCGAATTACATGTGAAGACTGAAGTCCGCCTCGCACTTGACCAGTTATCAAATGTGTGTGGTCCCCCTCGTCTTAAAAGGGAGACCTGTACCCAATAGTGGGAACGTTAAAAAGGGCTGAATACATAAATATTTATATTAGCTTAAATTGTGCATACCTACTCGTGTTTAACGGAAATAAGTTTACCTCTAATAAATAAACTACTTAGCTTGCACTGACGTGCAGGTCACTTCAAAGTTATTAGCTCTTATAAGTAACATAAATGTTAATTTATGAGCTATAAAATATAGCTATATATACAATACATAAAAAATATAATATTCACAATCAAATCAAAAGGTTAAAAGTCCGCGCTTGCGAGATATCTGCATTCGCTGCTATGTGACGTCACTTTTGTCAAAACTGTTATATTATATAAAGTCACTAGGAGAACCCGCGGCTTCGCTCGCGCTAAAACTATATAAAAACTCTAAAAAGGTAGGTTTCATACAAAATTTCATGCCCTATTTTACTCCCTTATGGGATGAATTTCGAAAAATGTTAAAACACGTACTTTTTAATTGTATCGAAGAGCATTAATACCGAGTTTCAAGTAATTCTGATCATAAATAATTTTTTAGGTTGTATTATAACGTGTTTTCCCGTGGGAAAGAGATAATCTCCCACGGTAAAAAGCCTTATAGCCTATGTCACTCTTCAGCCCTCCACCTATCTCCACACAAAAAATCACAATCCATCACTCCGTTTCGACGTAAAATAAGGTCAAACAAACAAACAAATAAACAAACAAACAAACACTTTCACATTTATAATATTCGGATGGATTCTCCAGTTATATATAACTTTTCATTTAAAAGAAACAGACAAACCTCTGGCTTTTGTTGCAGCTGAGTTGTCTAAGTACTCGTAGTACATACTCGTAGTTCATAATACATAATGTCTACTAATAAAAAAAACTAAAAAGTATCTTTATTACTATAGAAGGTATACATTTGATAACTGAGAGACGACGTATATGTTTGGTTGAAGCTTGAATGAAAAAGTGAGTATGTACTTATATGCGCACGTAGGAAGTTAGACTTCTGTTTTTTTAGAGCATTGAATTAAAAGCTTTTTTTTCTTTTTTATTTATTTATGCTTATTTTCTTTTTTTTAGTTGTTATTTTATTCGTATTCTTCTCAGAAAACCCTTTCATTTGATATCCATAGTAGTGGTGAATTGAGCGAGCTGGATCAAAGAAGATCCATCTCTCTCAATTCACGTTTTCAAAAACTTAGAAAAGTCTGTTTTTCATATTTTACTTCTCAAAACTTGTAAAATCAGTTTTTTAACATATTATTTCAAAAACTTATAAAAGTCTATTTTTCGTATTTCACTTCTCAAAGTTGTGAAATCGGTTTTCAACATATTTTCAAATTTGACTAATTGTTAATTTTAATTATTACTTTTAAAATTTGAAGTCCTAGGACGGTTGAAATCTGTATTTTATCTGTATATTGTTAATATTATTGATACGTTCAAACTGCTTCATTCCAAAATATTATTGATCTGTTCAAACTGTTTCATTCCAAAATATTATTGACCTGTTCTAACTGCTTTATTCCAAAATATTATTGATCTGTTCAAACTGTTTCATTCCAAAATATTATTGACCTGTTTTAACTGCTTTATTCCAAAATATTATTGATCTGTTCAAACTGTTTCATTTCAAAATATTATTGACCTGTTCAAACTGCTTCATTCTAAAACATTTAAAATATGCTCAAAACGACTATTTGAAATCAATTTTTGTACTTCTTAGAATTTGACAAATAGGTCCTATACATATTAAATTATTATTATCATTTCAGATTTCAGGGTAATTTAATATAGTATTAAAAACAAATTATTATTTTAGAATTTTATTTTCTTTACACCATTTACTTAAACACATTACATTTTTTAAAGCACATATTTTAGAATGATAAATACAACTGTTTACATCATCTGACATACTATACTTATCATATAAACTAACTAAATTAGGACAAGTTTGATCTTCTAAATTAAAAACATTATTATTTTTGGATATTTCTTTAATCCAAGACATTTTTTCAAGACCTTTAGTGTAAATTTTTTTATTAGCTAAAATTGGTATAATATGATCCTTATGATTTGAATAGGGTATATGACCTTCTTTCCAAAATATTCCTCTATTTCTTTCAATCCAGCTTACTTGTCTTCGTTCCGTTGGTGTCAAATCATAGAATGGGTACGGTTGCTTATAAAGCAGAACTTGAATTCTATTATCATATGCAACCGCAAATTCTTTTAAGATAAAATTATTATTATCAATCTTAAAACCTTGAACGTCTACTATGGCAATCATGATATCTTGCGTACGATATTACTTAAAGGTTTATACTCTATAAGACGGTCATTTATAATGAGACAATATGCAGACGTACTTGCTGGAATATCTTCAGTACTTTCAATTTCTAATCGCACATCGACTGGTCCAGTTTTCAAAGTCTCGTTCTGTCTCGAGCAATCAATGATAAACAATGGCGCCTTTTCTTTAAAAGTATGCAGATCTAACAGGGGGTCCATATGAATGTTGTAATAAGACTGACGAAATTGAGTGTACATTTCGTATAATATACCATATTTATCTTCATCAAAGTTTAAGTTCAGTGATTCGTATGGATAGTAATTGGAGTTCAAAAATAATGTTACTCTAGATATTTTGCAATGATCGAATACAGAACAATCTTTTGCTTTATTAAACTTTCTATCAGTTTGCAGACCAAAGATAACATATCGTGGTTTCTCTGTCTGTGAAGCCGTTTTAACAGACCAAGAATGTTTTGTTGTTTTAGGTAACAACGGATACTCATACAGATCCCAATTTCTAAAAGCAATTTGAATTGGTTTATCTTTTTCTAAATATTTGAGTAATGTAAGTTTCTCGCGATCTGATACTTTTACGTGAGGCATTCGCCACTGCACTCTTTGTAAGTCTATTTTTACATGAGAAAAATCATCTGAAAGTTTGATACTGTTTAGGTTTGTGTTGCTCCTGTTCAGTATTAGTTCATGTTTACAGTTCATAATTATTTTGTTATAATCTTCTGCAAATCCAAGTATTTTGTTTAAGGGTATAACAACGCTGAAATGACCATCGTTTGTAAATCCATTTATGTTCCAACCCCACAGAGCTGCAACCTTACTTTCCCCTCCGCTCATTGATACCAATGATTTCATTGTGGTCGTTACGCCAGCGTTTTTTATGCGATCGATTTCAATCCCATTTATTTCATACCTGATGTCTTGGAACAGAAACATAAAAGGGTTATTAGTAAATTCCACATGTCTTTTGACCGACTTGTTGTCCTTTCCGATGATGGTTGCATATCCTTCGATGTAGATGGTACTGGCTGAAGGCAATAGATACAAATCTTGCTGATGAATGGGGATTCGTATTTCGTCATTTTCCGCGAAACTATTATTATATGGATTATAGGTGTGTATTTCGTAATTTTCAATTGAGTTATCGAACTGAGGTAAACTTGTAACTTGAAGTATATTCATATTTTAAAACCAAGTGATCGAAGAAATTCTTTGTTCTGTTTTGTTATTTTCTTAACACCTTTAACACGTCTGCGCTTTTTAGCAATACAAGTATCAATGCTTTTAGCATTATTATTAAGAGGTTTATAAAATACAATCATTTTATTTTTCTTAAATGGAGGCGCAGTTGAATATTTTCTCCTCTGAAGTCAATATTATTACCGTCTTCATCAACAACTTTTATAGCTATAGATGTTATGTTTTTTTTGTTTATTGGTAAATAAATTATATTTTTGGGTACCTCTATGTATCGATAACCAGGCGGTATATCAGGCACAAATTCGTATAGTACATGCGATGGTAAGCCGTTAACAAATGATTCTTTAACAAGATCACACTCGATTCTTATAAGAGACAACGGTAGAATTCTGACTGGATTTTCGGATTCATGCCATTTGTTTGCATCTAATTTTATATTACGAAAACCAAGGACAGGTCCTAAACTGTTTTTAACATTAAAGTTAAGTGTTTCAGAGCAATATATGGAACATTTTAAGGTATTATTATTGGGTTGAATTTTAATCTCACAATCTTTTAAATTTTTTTCTAAATATGCAAGTATATCATACAAATCGTAATTACCATATGGTATATGCAATATTTTACCGTCATTACCGTAAGAAAATATGTTATTATTTTCATCTATATTTCTTACTGTATTAAATACAGAAAAATATAGTAAACCACACTCATATTTGCCATCTATACTTAAAGATGGCTGAAAATATGATTCAAGGAATGATTGATTACCAGTGATGGTTAAAGTAATAGACATGGTTGAATACTAAAGGTAATAATGTATTTGGGTATTATTTATTCATTTTTTTAGTTTATTACGCCAAAAATTCTCAAGAAACTTTATACATAAATGACCGCAGTTATAAGGATGATCTTGTTGAATATTTTCGTAATTATAATATACTTTTTTTCCTAAGTATTGGATCAGCTCTTTTGGTGGTTTTAAATTTCCATAGCTATCAAAGTATTCTATATAATCTTGACATTTAACATAAGCTACCCAATGAGTTCCAGAATTTTCTGAGTGATCTAAATTAATAACACCACATTCTCTTTTAAGAGGACATTTTGGTAATTCATTTCTCATAAAAACACCTCGAAAATGTGGTATTTTAATCGCATATTTTAAAATATCGATGTTAGTAAGAGCTCTATTGGGTAGCCGATTTAGTTTTTTTTTACAAGTTGTAAAAATTCCAAGACCACCGTTATGGGGTTTAACATGTAACCCTTTTCCAATTGAAAGAGATTCCATTTTTTCATTATGTCTTTTCAATTCTGATAAACGTTTCTTAGCAAGTTTGTAGTCATTTATAGCTTTAGCTATTGCAGCAGCTCCACCTGCTAAGCTTCCTGTTGCTGACAACCCCGCAAAAATAGGTATTAACGGAAGTATACCACCAGTTTTTGGTACAGGTATTATGCGCGGATGTTTTATAACAGAATTTGTAACAAAGTTCTTCGCAGCTGCCATTGCTAAATTAATTGCGGTTTTTTCACATTGAGGTTTGATTTTTTGTAAGTATTTTTTAGTATGGGAAACCACATGTTGAAACATTTTTTTTTTCAAACCTGAGCTTTGTCTCTTTTTTATCGATATGTTTTTTGCCTTTAAACCAGCTCCAATGCTAGCCTTAGCTAACATAGTATTTTTTACTAAGTTAGCTGCAACTTTTTCACATAGAGATGCATCCGAGGCAGTAGCACGCTTTTTCGCCATTTTCATCAATTTAATATCTGCTTTCGCCGATCGCTTAAAAGATGAAAAGTATGATAAGCAATATCGTGTTCTCTGCAATGTTCATCCAATTGGTTAATACCCTTATCTCCTCTGCTAAGTCTTTGAATTAATTTGGTTCCAGGACCCCCAATAATTATATCCAGGTAAATGAAGTTCAAACGGTAAGTGATTAATTAACCAATTTAGAAGACTGCATTCACTCATACTATGAAGGATACTAAATAAAATAAAGATGGATTTACTTTAAGTACTTTATTCATTTTTAACATTACAAAATTATCACTCATTACTCATTAAAACTCATTTGAAAGCTATCATAAAATATTAGAATTATGTATCCAGCTGTTTTCACTTGATGGTAGTCCTAACCATTTTACAAAAACTTTATTTCGATTTCTTTTCAAAACCTTCTCAACTAAATATATATTTGGATGTTTAGTTTTCTGTAGTTCGTAACTATAAAATGCGCCCAAAATCGGCTGACCTTTTGCATCTTCAATCAAGTATGTTACTGGATTTGTGGGTTGTATTTTTATGATCTTGAATACTTCTGTTGACCAATTTGGAGTATATCCTTTTTCAAATATTCCTTTGTATTTGCTTACACGTACAAAGTCTCCAACATCCATTTTTTGGGTATTATTATTTAGTTTTTCTTTAAATTTGTTAAAGTATCTTTGTTTTACATAATTTACATTATTTTTATTGACTTCTATAGGCTTTAATTCAATTGTTCTATGTTTGGTACGATTATATTTGGATTAACTTATTAAGAGTACCATCTACCCATTTATAATTTCCTTTAAAACTAAATTCTTTATACATTTTTGTTTTCAAAGTTCTGATAAACCTTTCTGCGATTGAAGCCTTTTTTGAAGAGTAGGTAGAATAATGATTTATTGCATAGGTATTCATTAATTTTTGAAAACTTTTATTATAAAATTCTGTTCCAAAATCAGTTTGTAGGTTTTTAGGAATACGACCATTTTGCAAAATTTTTTTAAAAGCATCACAAACCTCATTTTTTCTTTTAGATTTAAGTGGACACGCCCAAGCAAATTTTGAAAATGTATCAATTACAACCATAATATATTTGAAACCTTGATTTTCATTGCACATTTTTTGCATATCGATCAAATCAGCTTGCCATAGGTCATCGATATCTTTAGTAACAACACATCTCCGTGGAAAATTTTTTCTTGCGTTTCTATGTATTTCGTTTACTATGTCTCTTTTGCTCATTTTGAGAATATTTCAACTCAATTTTCGTTTCCAAATTTCTTATTTTATTGTTTATTTCAGTAATGAATTCTTCATTTCTGTTCTTAAAATTTTTTAAAAATTCTGATATAGACTTATCAACGTATTCTTTCGTAGCGCTATCGGTGGCATCTACTGGATTTTTTAGATGTTTGATTATTTTGTTTTGTGCATTGAAATTATCATCATCAGTGTATGTTAAAATACACTGCAAAGGAAGTAAATTAGTGGAAAATCTTTTTTTCTTAAAAATATGATGCCCAAATTTATCTACATTCATGTTGAAGCTGTTACTTTATACTGATTTACATATATAAGATATTTTTCTTTTTATTCCTTGATTATACCTGCTTCCTTCAATTCTTCAATAATAGAAATTATTTCATTATCATGGCTGGTGTTGCCTGCGTCTTTAGAAGCGACTAGCAATTTTAGTCTTTCAATTAACTCATTTGGATCATCCCAATAAATAAAATCAGTGTTACGAGCATATTTTTTTAAATTTGGTATACCAGAACCAAACTTTTGATTATTTTCTAGCTCAGTTTCATTAAATAAAGGTTTTATAATGTCACGATATTTTATACTTTTGTCACCTCTTATTTGTCCCTGCGGATTGTAATCTCGTCTATGAGCACATGTATTATACAACATATCCTTATATATTAGCTGATCTTTGTCTGTGACTAATGTTAAATTAGGTTTTTTACAAAATAATAATTCTCTTAAACCGGATGACAGTTCATATTGCTTATTTTCAATATTTATCAAATTAGTTTTTTCATTATTGCTGGGATTAACTAGGGTGGATAATTTGACTTTTGAATTCCCCATGAATAAATCTCTACCTACGCTGCGTACGCCAAATGGTACATTTAAGCTGTCATAAATATCTGCAATTTCATTCTTTTTTAACGACCTCTCTAAAACTTTATTTATCATAGTTGGACTTTTAATAATATCATCATTTTTAGAAGTTTCAGACACATTTGGTGGATCCATTTCATCTAAACTAGCTGAAGTTTTATATAAATTTTCATGATCTGAACTTGCATTTCCTACATATTTAGAAGCATCCTCTTTTTGCGATATTGTATTTTGAATATGTTTATCAATTTTAAGGAGTGAATGCAACGGCTCAACAACAGGTCTTAAAATTTTGTTTACTGATAAATTAGTCAGTTCTTCATCTTTTTTCATATTTTTAATTTTCTTTTTTATCGAACAGACTGATTCAATCAAACGTGATTTTATGTCTTTTTCCATTTCACTATATTTAAAATTAAACGACTACTGTTTACAAATAAAAAAATGATACTAATCATGTTAAATTCAAGAAACATATTTATAGCTATTTAAAATTGAAAAAGACATCAAATCCTTTTCTGTATCTTCCTTTGTCTACAGCACAATCCTTATTAATGATTACAAAACTAAACGGTTCTTTCCATACTTTTGAACAAAGATTTTTGAATTCAATCCAAGTTAAATCAGTATTTACGTGTTCGTCATATATGTGTTTTAGATTTATATCGTCTTGCTTGAATATTATCAAAAAGTTAGTGTTATCTCGCACTAGCTGTTTTGGAATCTTTGAATATGTTTGAGACAAATAAAAGCAGTCTACTTGTTTATGTCTCCCCATTGCAAAAAAATTACGAATATTACTTTGGTTATCACAAACTACATCATCAAAAATCATAATAGAATTATTCAAAACATCATTAGGATCTATAACTTCCTTTTCATTATTAAAAATAAAAAACTTTATTTCAGGAATCATTTTCATAACTTCATTTAAAAATTGATACTTCGGTTGAAATGCCGTTTTAGAATATAAGTATAAATTTTTAAATTTCAAACCATTTTCATGAAGCAGTAAGCTTAACATCACATTAGTTTTACCACAGTTAGACGGTCCGCATATTAAGCAGCGTATTGAATTAGGTAGTAGTATGCTATGTTTAACGAAATCCTTGTTTTCTAAAATCTGTACATTGTATATTTCTATTGAAAGTGGTTGCTTTATTAGCTTCATGGTATTGACTGATTACTTTTAAATAAAAATAGTCTTTTATATTTTATGATGTAATAAAAAGTAATTCATCTTTAAATTTTACTAATAATAATTTTAAATTTAAATTCATCAAAGCTTTTACGCATCAGCTGGGTATAATAAAAATAAAACAATATTCATATAGAATTTTATAATCTTTATTAATTTTCTACATTAACTTCTCAAACTCCTGTTTACATATAGTTCAAATAATATGTACCAATTATAATTTAACTATTTTACTTATTATTGTAAATAAGTGACATAATCAGTATAATATGTTATCCCAATGCCCCCAAGGTAAAGTTTGTATATTGTCTGTTAAAATCTGTCTTTTGTCATCACTTCGATCAAGTACAGTTTTATAAACTTCTTGAGTATACAAAACATGTTTAAGTGACCGAATAACATTCATTTTTTGCTTGTAGCGTTTATCAGTCATCAAAGCTTTCTTGAATTTAGTCGTAGTAATTTTCTTTGTAATAGGTCTAGAAATACCTTTTGCTTTTTTTATTTGAGTATTAATACTGTTTATACAATACAATTTTGCTCTCAAACCAATGAATTCAGTTAGCACGTCACCACCTAATTCGTCTTTAAATAATCCAGGAATTTTGTTATTCATTTTAGAAATGCCATATATATTATTATTTGGAAAGTTACTTGTATCAAAATTTAAAGAATTTTCTTTTATGTCCGCATATATATCGTCTGTTTCTATCAAATAAAGTAAGCTATCAGTATCTGTATAGCAAAGTTTCGCACAGTCGTGATACTTCTCTTTAATATAGTCATAATGAAATTGGTATAAATGTTGCTTGGCGTATTCCAAAACAGTAAATCCAATGTAAATGGGTCTATCTAACAGAACTTTTTCATATTCCAATTGAATCGCAACAAAGTTTTCATCGAAGATTGATATGCTTTTAAAATTAGGTTTTGTCAATAATTTTGCGGCACCAATGCGTTTGTTAGATACGTTATTATTATCTTCCCAACGTGATACTAATCTTACATCGACTTGTTTTCTTCTGTTTTCAATTGTTTTCCCAAAAATTGAATTATTTAGTAATTTAAACAAATCTTTCTGAAAATTTGATTTAGATGCTTGACGTAGGCGAGTATTTAAATCAATGTAATTCTTTAAAAAAGGTTCTTGACGAAAACTTAGTACCCGATATATTTTTTTTAAGATCAAACCATGTTTTAAACATAATTTCAAATGAACGTAGTGAATAACGTATTTATTTTTATTATAAAGATTAGCAATTAATTTATATGTTTTACCACCTGGAGGTATTATTTTTTCTGGTGCAAATGGCAAATCACTATGAGCATTATGGAGGTGGTCTGGATAATCTAAGTCAACCTCTAAAATATAGCCATATTCCGACTCATCTGTTATATTTAATACATTAAAATTCGTTTTCTCATCTTCAGATAGTAAACGGAACTCAGAAATAGGCAGCTTTTTCATCATAGCAAATCCATATAAATTATTGGCATCAAGATAAATTAGGTATTTAGAAATTTCTGAGTTATCACAATTCGGTAGATACTTGTTATTAGCTTTAGCATATCGATGAGAACATTGCGATAACCCTCCACGAATACCTCTTTCTATTAACTGATATATTTCTAAATCACTTATTAAATCCAATCGAACGCCTGTATGCAGTAACATAGCATCCCAACTTAAGCTAGGAGATGATACATAATGCGCGGGATCTAATTTGTAATATTCCAAGCATGTATTTCTAAAGTTTTCAAAAATGTCACATAATAATAGGACATCTGTTTTTAAATATAAATCTGTGTATTCACCAATTGTGTTTATATTAAAATTATCCCATACTTTTTGTGCTCGTGCATATTCGTCATAAGTTATATGTTTCATGGTTAAATTATTATAAAAACATTCTTTTGGTGGCAAAGATTTTTCTTCATATTTACACCAAGAATCTACGTAATCATAAGGAAATATACCTTTCTCTTTTAACAAGTTAAAGTCAATATGATTTCTGAATTCTTCTGAGAGATGAATGTGTTCATTTTCAGATAAATTTTTACTTAATTCATTCAAACTAGAACTTAAAAACTGAAAGGAATCTATAAATTTAATTTGAACGTTGCGAGAAGTGTGCTCGTTATAAATTATTTTACTTATTGTTAAATACTTTTCTTTTGTTTTAGGTATAACTTTTATGTCTCCCACATGGTGTGCTAATTCTTTGATAAAAAGATGGCTGTCATAACCACATAAATTATGAAATACGACTGGTATAAAAGAATATTCTCTTAACATGAGATTGCAGTGAGAATGTGCTGGACCCCGATATTCAGAAGTAATATGATCGTGGTCAGCAACTTTATCTCCCAGCAAAGGTTCATTACAGATGTGACAAGTTGTAGCATTTAAATAAGCATTTCTTTGTTTATCGGTTAGTGGATTCATTGGTTTATTAACAGATAATAGCTTATCAATATCTTTAACATCTTCAATTAAACGTTCTATAAAGATTTTAACACAATCCGGACCTCTATATGATACATATTTATTTAACTTAGAATCATGAGAGCAACAAATATAGTAACCAAAACAAGATGGCTCGTGTAACTGTAAATTAACCGTATTACATGTTTGTTCATTTTTATTACATTTCAACAATAAACTTTCAAAATCTGCATATATTATAAAATTTATTTTTATTTTTCGCTCATATCTTTTAAACTGTAATATGCTATTTTCTTTCGGCAATATGGTTAATACTTTAGAACATTGGTGTGACATAAATTTCTTTTTCGACGAGAAATGTTGAAGACATGAATCACAGAAATGTAATTTGCCATTATGTTTTGAAATCTGTGGTCGCACAAGACGTGACAAATCTGTTATTAAGCAATAGTGACCCTTATTATATTTCTCAATGTATAATATATTGACATGGTGTACTTTTCTTGAATTACATATATAAAGCGGGCCAGTTACTTGGTTACAATTATCGAGACCATAAATGTTGAAACTTATATTAGAATTTTGCTTTTCAAAAGTTTTGAGATCATGTGTAGTAGGTGGAAAAGACATACCATCTATTTTGAACACATTACTATAATGAGGATAAGATCTAGTTCTACATACGTTATTTTTTGCTGGATATAATGCTGCAACTATACTCCATAAAAAACAGTGATCGTCTTCATTTTTAATATTAATACAACTCTTAGTATTTTTAATAGTCGCAGGGAGTTCTATATAACTACTTCCCTTCATAGGCGAGTATTTATTCACGTTTATTTCTAAATGACTAATTGTTCCAAAAGTCCAACCAGACTTGCAATGTTCGAATTCAGCCATTTTCATTTTCATAGAGTCTATTACTAAAGAAAACATTTCTTTCAGATCAGTATTTCGACATAGAATTTGAAATTTTGAATTAAATGACTTGAGTTGTTGTTGATCAGAACTTGGTAAATAAAATAGAGCAAAGAGTTCAAAATTAACTTTCACACATGTATGTTCAGTAATTGAGAGCTCAATGATCTTTAATATATCTTTTTCATTATCTTTAAGAAATGACTCGGGAGTAAAGTACTTTTCTATATTCTCAGGCTGTAATCTATATGTTATAATTCGATTTTTAAATGCAGAAGCAATGACTTTTATATTATCAAATTTTGTATTCAACAAGCAATTTGCCTTATGTATATTACTTCTCAAATGGTAATTATATTTATTTCTTAATGTATATAAATTACAGTATTTACAAAACTTAATGTCTTTGTCTTTTTCTTTATTACTGGTGTCGACAACTGTGAACAAGAAATAAAATACGAATATATAGAAAATACGAAACTTGAAATATTCATTTATTATAAAATAGTAAGTTTTAAAACGTAAATGAGTATAATATGACAAGATTAGTAGGATAGGTAAATGTACTTTATTAATATTAATACATTATATTAATAAAGTAAAACGTTAAATATATATTATTTACAATAAATGTGAATTTATGAAATTTGGCGAACATTCCTTGAACTCCTTTCGGACTTCGCTTAAATATGCTGATAAATGTCGCCAGGACTCGGTATCAACATTTGTTCTATTTTTAAGAGCAACTATTGCATAACGCCATCTATTCATCGGAGATACGCGCTCGATTTCTTCGCATTTATATATTTTTATTTCGACAAAATGACTGCCAGGCTTATCAAACTTTATTTGTCGTGAAAAGCCGTTTGTTACCCGTTTTGTTAAATAAGATACTAAAGGAGATGTATTTTTACATGTTACATCGTTGATTTCACCATCATCGGAGTCTACGCCGAAAAGATCTTGAGCGGTGACTTTGGCTGATCTTGATTTCTTTCCGCTGGACCGAACACGTACTATAGCGTCCCCGCTAGTTGAAGGCTCGTTTCCATGAGAGTTATGCCCTCGCTTGTTTTTCCTCACAGCTTTCTTCTCTTTCCCCTTCGGCTCGGTCCTCTCTTCAGAGGAAGACTCTTCTGATAGAAAAATGTTTTCATGGTTGCTTGACCTGAAATTAGAAATAATTATAACTTTAACAAAAACTGTATGTATCATAAAAAAAGCTGTATTAACTTTAAGTTTGCATCGAATACTAAGTTTTAAATATCTAAAAAAAAAATAATATATCTTCTACGATGTCTCGGGATTCGAATCTGAAACCTTTAAATAACTTCTTCTTTCTGAGTTCGTTTTGCGAATAGACGATTTGTTTACACGCTCTAATCATTAAACTAGACATCTGTTAAGAACTAATGTGAATATTTTCGATAGAAATGGTGAACATTATTTATGCAATGTAGGAAGGCTGAACTGATTTTGATCTAACATTCACAAAAGATACAAAAAAAAAACACAGAAGCTGCCAACTGCTGTTCTTAATATTTTTAAATAAGGTACCTCCAAGTTATTATAATTCAATAATGTAAATTAAAAATTATTGTAATTCTAGTATCATTCAATCCTCAGAGAAAAATCAGACAATTTCATCAAAGTTGAAAAAGAACGTCTGGTTGGATGAATTTATCGAAACTGTTTAAATCATTCTAATATTATAAATGCGAAAGTGTGTTTGTTGATTTGTTGGTTTGTCCTTCAATCACGCCGCAACAGAGCTACAGATCGACGTGATTTTTGAATGGGTATAGTTGAGGATCTGGAGAGTGACAGAGGCTACTTTTATCCCGGAAAATCAAAGAGTTCACGAGGGATTTTAAAAACTAAATCCCCCCGAGGACTAAGTCGCAAGCATCAGTTAGTAATTAAATAAAAATTACTATTCTATTTTCTTGTATCCGAAGAATTTTATATGACTATGTTAAATTGATACAGTGAAATGGAAAATAAAATCTAAGATATAAAAGAAGTACTTACATGTTGGATGAAATTCACGAAAATTTTACTTAATTCACGAAAAACACTGATGAACACTTCAACTTGGTTAGGTACCTACTTGTAAAAAAAAAAACAATTGGAGCTGAGGAATTCTGTCACCTTTGAAAGTAGGACTTGAAAATGACGGCTTGATGGGCACCAGCCTATAAATAGTTTCAAAAACTTAAAATGTGTGTGTAGACAGTTAAACACAAATTGTTCGTATGTAAGCTGACTGTCAATATGTGTGCAGATTAATCTAAAAATGCGGAGATAGCACAAATTATTTTAAAAATGAACTTTACATATTCCCCTAGTTCTGTCTACCATATTTATTCTAAAATATGACTTGATAATCTATGTGCGTACAACTTGACAAAACATGGCTAGAGAGTTATTATGATAGTTTCAGTAAACATCGATAGGATCAATTTGCACCCGACGACGCCGCTCTGTCGGGTGTCCTTTTATGGTAAGGAATGTTCAATTTCATCACGTTACATCTTACAGGTTAAAACATGTTGGAAACTGAACTTGGAGGACTAAGCATTTTATCCATACTAATATTGAGCCCTGGCGTCACACGAATAGCATAATGGAACCATAGATACGTCTTCAAATGAAAATCATTTAGTTTCTCGATTATGAGATTATAGCTCATACACAGACAAACTTGGTCTAAGAACTTTGTTTTATATTTACTTACTGATGATTTACAAAGAAAATTCAAGTTATTCTCAATCAGATCCTCATTAAGAGCGGTCCTATGTGAATTTGTGTAATAAAAGTATCTTTGACTGTGCGTGCACTAAACCTACTTAATTCACAAAAAACCTTTCTTCGGTCTACAGCATTTTAGATTTTTTTGGGGAAATGGAAGTAAGTTAATATTATAAGTCTTATATATATTTACTAGTATATAGGTATATTAAAGTCTCATTAATAGAACATTTAAAAACTGTGAAAGCGGAATTTTAAGTCATTTAATATTATGAATAAAATGTTCTATACCAAATACTTTAAAATACACTAATAATAAGTAAATAACTTTCAATAATAATTTTTATTTCAGGACTCTGGAGACTTATTCAGATTTATACCAAATAACCCAGAAGAAAAGAGCAGTAAAAGATCAGCGGATGCTAATACACTATATTCATATATGAAAATACCATCAAAAGGTACCAAAATTATTCGTATTCAAATATATGATGTGGAACAATTGCAAAATAATGAGGATAAAGTATGCAAGTGTAATGCAAATCTATGTATACAGCACGTAGTACAAAACTTGTTCCGGGATGATATTTATAGAGATGTTACTAAAATTATCACTCAAATGAAAGAACAACTAAGTGATTAACGTAAAACTATAAGTTGTATTCTTTACTTTATTAAATAACTATTTTTATAACATTTCAGTAAGTAAGTATTATTTGTATTCGGTTTGGCAGTATTTTAATAAAATAAAAATCTTTATTAAGTCACATGTCGTTTTTATTTTAAATACACTAATAACTTGATAATATTATAGGAACCAACCGAAATTGATTTATGTGTTACATACAAAGTTTTATTTATGTAAACCAGAAATCAATTTTCGAATCGAGCAGTTTTATCCACGCAGTATTGTTAAAATACCAATATGAATATACCTATTACATAACTGCATAGAGAGTGACGCTGTGTTTACATTTGGGTAAAACCATTTTTTTTTAAACTGTAAATGACATTCCTTTACCAGTCTATATAAGTAGTTAATATAATAATATAAATGAAATTCTTTGTATGTTGATAAACAGACACAAAAGAAAAAGTAAAAATACAAAAAAAACTTTTATAACTTTTTGAAATAATATGTTGAAAACTGATTTTACAAGTTTTGAGAAGTAAAATATGAAAAGTAGACTTTTATAAGTTTTTAAAAACTATGAAAACTGGACTTTTCTAAGTTTTTGAAAACGTGAATTGAGAGAGATGGATCTTCTTTGATCCAGCTCGCTCAATTCACCACTACTTGCGTACAATGCCGCATTTCGTGTACGTTTCCAGTTCCGTTATTGTTTAAAACATACATACGTACATATTTTTGTTTATACAAGTCTTAAGACGAATCTAAGAATTAATATTAAATCTTTAGTACATGTAGAGAATTCAGTAATCCGTATTATTATTATTATCTTATATATAAAATTTCCATGTCACAATGTTTGTTACCGTACTCCTCCGAAACGGCTTTCCCGATTTTTACCAAATTTTATATGCGTATTCAGTAGGTCTGAGAATCGGCTACTATCTATTTTTCATACCCCTAAGTGATAAGGATAAGGGTGGTCCTCCCAGACCCCACCCCAGGGACGAACCCGAGCGGAGCGAGGGTGCGCTAGTTAATATTATAAATGTGAAAGTTTGTGAGTATGTATGGATGTTTGTTACTCTTTCACGCCAAAACCGCTGAGCGGATCTGGATGAAATTTGGCACAGAGATAGATTATAGTCTAGGATAACACATAGGCTACTTTTTGTTCCGCAAAAATGCACGCTTCCCGTGGGATACATTTGTTTTGGTTTTCCTAGAGGTGAACCCGAACGAAGCGAGGGTGAGCCGCTAGTCTAAAATAATTTAGAGTATTTCAAATGTCAATAAAAGTAAAAATATGCAATATCTATACATTTAATAAAATTCTGAGTCGAGTCTGTAGAATATATACTTTTTGGAAAATCTTATTGAAAGAGTCTTTATTATCGATACAGAGGCCAAATCTATAGTTTTTAGATTTTTCGTCTGTCTGTCTATGTATCTGTCTAGAAATGCATCACGAGAAAACCACTGGACATATTTTGATGAAAGATATGATGATACTTTTTACTGCGGGAAAATATCTCATCTCTGAGAAATCTATACTAACCGTTAAAATGTACCAAGGGACGAACTCAAACAGAGCGAGAGTGAGTCGCTAGTAAGTTTTTTACTTAAAACTATAACCTTCTCTTCTACTAGTATAGTATAGTAGTAGAAACTGCATAGCATATCCAAGGGGCTTTATTATACTTATTTATATACTTTGAGTAAGCGGATAATCCGTTCCGTGATATTCGTTCGGTACGTATACAGCTATTTTTCTATTTATAAAATATTTCAATTATATTTATTCCATTATAATATATAAAACGTGAGAATTTTAATATGTTATCTACATTTGACATACAGGAGTAAGTCCGGGAGAGACGCGTATAAGGGAAAGATGCTTTTTAAATTTAAAAATAAAAATAAAAAAATTGCGTGATCTGGAACGCATTCATAATACGTGAGTCAAAAGTTCACTCACCATTTTGTATTGTAAATGCTTTAGGGTGTGTTCAGAGTCGATAGGCATCTCTCTCTAATATCGGGAGATATTATAGGCCGCGCAAAGACGGTAAGCGCGCGGCAGAAGCCCCACATAACCCGCCTCGCTACCCCATTTGACGAGTGGGTACCCGGGAATAGGGTTTCCTGACATAAATAAAAAGATATTAGTAGTACTATCAATTCAACTAAATTCAGTTTATCTATAGCACTCTTCATGATAAAGAAATCTTCATTGGTCAAATTTAAATACCAGAAACATTTTCATTATTTATATCCGAAAATAACAATAAAAATTTAAGTAATAGTATAAAAAATGTTTTAAAAGACAAAAAAATCGAAAGTGCGTATTACAAGACTTCTGCGATACCATTCAGACATAGAGAGACAATAGCATTCCCAAGGAGGGTTGACGTCAGGCAGGCGGCCGGTCGTAAAAGTTTTGCCAAATCCTATCAGCAATACAGAAGATGTACTGCGCCGACCCCAAGTGATTGGGAAATGGACAGGGACAAGAAGAAGAGAGAACAGAGATATAACTAATATACTACAGAGATATAACGTAATAATTACTCGTACAAAATACTCATTAAAAATTAGACTGCCCTATGTCGGCCTGTACGTTGGGTAGTTTTGCTTGACCTTAGTATGAGCAGCCTTTACTTTAAATTTCATAAATTAAAATAACTTGACCAGGTACAGTAGGTTCCCTCCCAACGTGCGTTCACCTTGTCGTGGTGGGGGGGCTCAGTAGTGCCCGGCAATCCAACCGGGCGCGAAGCCAAGAAACGCACAGGAAGGTGGCCCACTTCGGTGGGTGGTAGAAGGTGGCCCTGTTTGGTGGGCGGTGTACCATGCGGGTTGCTCCTGGTACTTCTCTGATAGCAGAGTGGACCTTGGAGCAACTCCATGGTTGTGGTGGTCTGCTTCGGCAGACCTGCCGTCGGGGCGTCGTAGTTGAATGCGTAAGCGATCCTGCGACGCCCCATTAAGACGGAGGAAGATTTTGTTGGGTTTTAGTGGGTAGTACTGGCTTTATTACGCCGGTGAGTCCCACACCTCGTGCGTAAATGCATTTCCCAACGTTAAAAAAAAAAGGTACAGTAGGTTAATATTTTATCTTGAAAATGAGTATGGCAAAATTTAATTCGCCAACTAGCTCTATGTACGAAATTATATATATCGAAGCTATTGGGCAATTTGACAGTAAAGTTGTGAATTGAATTTTAAGAGGGCTGATGGAGGCACGTTTTAAGCACAACGTAGCGCAGGAATTTTCAATCAGCGTCATTGCTCTACTGCCAGTAATAGTTGCCAAATATATAGAAATTTACGGAATATCCTGATTTTTGAGAATTTGAAATTTCCATATTTTTTCATCGTTAAATAATTCATATTATTTATTCTATTTGACGACACGTTTGGCTCAGTTTGTAGTGACTCTACTTTCTGTGCCGGCCGTCGCGGGTTTGAGTCCCGCTGGGGGCATTCATTTGTATGATGACCAATGTTTGTACTCCATTCATGGGTGTTTATATTTATAATATGTACGTATTTAAAGTTATATATGTATAGTATATCAACTATCTGGTATCCATAAAACAAGCCTCGTAGCTTCCCATGGAACTAGATGGTGCTATGTGATACTGTCCCAACATATTAAAATATATATATATATATATATATATATATATATATATATTAGATTTAGTTACAAAATTAAACCAAATAATTATGCATATGCAATTTCTGAAATATATCGAACTCAGTAAGTAGATTAATAAAAGTAAACAAAATTATTTTAAAATTCAGGTACTAAATAATACGCTAACATCATATTTATATATTTTTATACTATAATTTGTTTTTTAATATTTTTACCTAATTAAAAATAACATTTAAATACTCCTATCTTTATTGTTCTGTAAGATTCACAAATATTTTTTTTGTACACCTTCAAATATTTCTTACTAACATGCTAAAAGCGTATTATTGGGTATACTTTTTTAAATTTATAAAAAAAAATATAAATAACTAAGCCCTTATATGGTCAATATAAATGGCATTTATGACACTATGCCACAATGAATCATCGAGGCATCACCAATTAAATTAAATAACAATCCTGATATCTAGGCGTATTTCCTTGTGACACTACTCTGCATCTGCACAAGTAACACGATGCAAATGACGGCTCATAGGATGAATATTCGAAATTGCAGCACACTGAATGATGCCTATCAAGAACAAAGGTGCCAGGTATTTTGCATTAAATCTTAAAAATTAAATTTATTTCTAAGCTAGAAGAACCCGCGGCTACGCTCGCGCTAAAACTGTAAAAAAATCTGTAAAAAGTTAGTTTCATACAAACTTTCATCCCAATTTAACCCTCTTATAGGATGAATTTCGAAAAATGCTAAAACACGTATTTATTTAATTTTATTAAAAAGCATTAATACCGAGTTTCAAGTAGTTCTGTTCATAAATATTTTTTTAAATTATATTATAGCGAGTTATCCTGTGGGAATTAGATAATCTCCCGCGGTAAAAAATAGCCTATGTCACTCTCCAGCCCTCCACACAAAAAATCACGCCAATCCGTTACTCCGTTTCGACGTGAAAGAAGTACAGACAAACAAACAAACAAACACTTTCACATTTATAATATTAGTATGGATATGGATGGGATAAGACATTATTATCAATGGCATTATGAGATACGGAGCCGTGATGTAAGCAGGAACGAAGTAATCTAACAATTATCAATATAGAACAAAGTGTTAGTAAGGTGAAAAGGACTGGTCACATTTGTCGGAGAACCAACGTTTATATACTTTTAAATTTAACACATATTACTTAAATAAGTTTTCATCATCAGCAAATGATGATGTGCCTATGTTACTAAGAAATGGCATAATCTGAGTATTGAGTAAAGGACAGACTATAATGATTTTTATAATCTGTTTGCATAACTAGATATCCATTTAAATGAGCTAATAAACAAATAAATC